GACGTGGAGGAGCAGCGGCTCTACTCTGAGTCCCTCCTGGATGACCGAGCTTCTCACCCTATCTCTATGGGAGAGCCCTGCCACCCTGCGGAGGAAACCCATTTCGGCCGCTTGAGCTCTGTTTTTAAGGGTATCTTTGGCATGRCTTTATTCAGTCTTTCATTTTTCAGCTTTTCTGCTGTGACCACRACGATTTCTTTCAAGTCTGTGGGCACATTGAGGTTCTGAGCGAAGTGCGCTGAGCCTCTCACTGCCACCTTTTCTGCCATGTCCCATGGGAGATCTCCAGACCTCAAACCACAGGTGCTGATGACAACTCTCCTCAGTCCTTGATGTATTGTATGATACAATCCTCGTTCCAATTTTTTCGTCATTAGGCGGACATAGTTTTCCATGTCATCACCTTTCTTATATGCAGGTACTGGGATGTGGATGATTCCATAGTGGGCCAGTCCTGCTCCACCAGTCATTTGGGGCCGGTCGGGATCTTTTTTGTGGGCCTCTCTTAACTCCCTTACCTCTTCCTGGTATTCGTGCCCCGCACTTTTTTATTAGGGCTTTCCTGAATTTTGCATTGTAACTTTTGTAGTTGTGGTTGTTGAATATCAGCAGTCCATCACTTGAAATGGCMCATGGGTCTCCCACAGTTTGATGCAGGACTATACCCGTCTGCATTCGAATCTTCAGGGTTTCCTCAGAGAGAGGGCCTAGCGGGCCTCGTCCTGGTGTCCCTGGTTCTATGTGACGCCTCTTGCGGTCACGTTTCCGATGTTTTTTGTCATCTTCATTGAKGGTGGTGTTCTCAAACTGCTCAGTCAAAGCCTTCACAGTGTTCTGATTTCCATCGTTTTTTGGTTCTGACTTGGGAGTTTGACCCAAATACGTTTTTATATCTTGCAACGCCTGAGTCAGCTCTCCTCTCTCTCTGTGAAAGTGGGATCAATCATCATCGTCATCTTTTGTCCCATCAAAATAATCTTCATGATCTTGTTTTCCTTCCTCATCCTCATCATCAGTCTCCGCACCTGATTCTTCGTGGTCAGTGTTGTTGTCGGGATCTCTGACCACACTGTTTTCATCCTCATATCCATTTCTGTCCTTGTACTTCAACATTTTTCCATAACCTGAGATCATACAGAGGTTGCTCCAAACACTTATATTTCTTCTCAGTTTTGGAGGCTGGATCGGCCACCCCGCGGCTGATGAACTGTTCCCTGGCAACCAATTTTACCAGGGGGTCATACTCTGCTCTACTCTCATACTCTGACCCATTCCTCCTTTTGAACCTTCTTTTAGTTTCTGGTGGATGAAGCAGCACGGCTAGCATGGCCCCATCCACCAGGGTGGGCCCAAAGAAGAATGTGTTTTTGGTCATGTGGTCTTCCAGTTCAGCCAGGGCCTGTACTGGGTCTGTTTATGTGGAATGTGACATGAAGAGCGCCTTAGCGGTGGGGTGCCATTCCTTGGTTCCCCTGCCATAAAGCATAACTATGCATCGCGGGACTTGTATGATCTCTGGGTTGAGGGCCGTTTCTTGTGATGTCCCCGCTCTCTCCCCTTTCTTTGGCGGGGCTTCAGCCATTGTGCTTCTTTGTCTTGATTGGAGTTGTAGATCCTCAAARCCTCCTGCTCACGTTACAGGACCGGGATGAGGTCTCGACGATTGCAGCTACTTACCTGCGGTTGCTGTGTTCATTCTAGTAGCTCCTGCTGCAGGGTCCTCTCCTTCTTCCACTCTTCAAGTGGTTGTTGTGAAGGATGTGTGCTGTTGGCTCTCTTTTAGCATACTGAGCAGTCAATTCTCATTTTCTGCTCTTGTAGACAAGCTGGGCCACTCCTGTGGTCCAACCCTTCTCTCAGGGGGCTGACCTAGTTCAGGCCATGCCCCACGTTGGGCGCCATGTTTTCCTGTGTGGCTCCTCCCCCAGTTTACCCACTAGGACACTGATGGGTCTTGGAGAGGAGACGATGTCTCCCTCTTGATTTGGAGGCGATGGACCGGACTTACAGCCACTTGGGGGAGACCTATGTGACCGAGTCTGGCGTGTCTCCTCCGGGAGTCATCGGGCGGGAGCCTTTAGCTCGGTCTCCAGCTACCTTCCTTCCAGTGGTCGCTCCCTTTTTGAACCCCGGTCTCTGGGTCAGCGTAGTAGCTCAGGACGCCTTCCAGCTGCCAGTCACCACTGTTCCTGGTAGCCGCTCCCTCGTAGGATGTGCACTTCTTATTGTGACCGAGGTGACGTTTAGTGACCTGTACAGTAGGTCTCAAGGGAACTGTTAAGGGGAGTTATCCTATCTCCCCAGGTTAATAACCATTAAAAATGAATGTATTATTGAATTAAGACCTCATATCATTACCTCTTGGCGTCAAAGTAACCATACTCATTATTATGTTAATATCTTGTTGCTCTGAAGTAACAACACTCTCATGTAATCAGAGRAAAACTTTAAAGGACAACTTTATAAATCAATGTCCAGTCATGAATTTGTCTTTATGATGCTGAAAGCAGTTTAATAGGAATTTGCAAGAAAAGCCACATTTGATTATACAGATTAAGAATGTTCAGTAATAAATGATGGTGGAAAAAATAAAAATTTCTAAGGCTCTGGCCTATCTTTATGATCAAGGTGTGTGGCATTTCCTGTCAATTTGGGGACGGCAGGACAGGTTGGATGGGTGTTGGCATTACCTCCATGGGGTGCATCAGATTGTTGCCTGAAAAGGACTTCTCAGAGCTGGGCGAGTTCAATCTGGTCTTCGGTCCTTGGATCGCTGGAGAGAAGTTTGTCAGCTTGTCCCAGAGGAGATGCCCTTCGGATCTGCTCGCTCCTCTTCTTGGGCCATTCTTGCTTCTTGCTGCCTCTTCTCCAGTCGGGGCTCGAAGACAAGTTTACTGTCAAAGCCGCTCCCTTTTRTACTGTCTTTTGGGCTCGTTCCCCACTCTCCTACCCTTGCAAGTAGGTTGGGTGCAGATCCTTTTTGTAATTTCTAGAATGAAGTAATCTCGTTTCCTTGGTAACAGCACTTGTCAGAGACTCACTTGTGCTGTCTCAAAACCAGTTCTTCCGCCTGAGAGCCTCAGGCACGTCTGCTTTCTTCTAGTTGCTTCTAGCTACTTCTGTTCTGAAAAATACAGCTTGTACTGTTCATGTCTGAAATAGCACACACACCCTTTATGCAATACATTTCTTTCATATGACATTCTTTTTAATCACCACCTTACATTAAAACTCTCTGAGTAGTACATTTAAATCATACTTTGCCATTAAGCACATAATCATTACTCGTTATACATATTTGCCAGCATTATCATTGATTAATTTTAATAAATCAATTCTACTCTCTGTTTCTTGATCYTCTTGTCCCTCTGGCCTGCGTCTCGGTCCTTCTTATGGGTCCTTTTCCTGTCCCGTTCTCTTCTCTGTTGAGAGTCGAAAGAAGGAGGCTCTGCTGGCCTGATTCCAACTCTGGTGATGGTTGGTGCAGTGGGATCTCTTGACAATCCGGGACCTCGTTCTTTCRGTCATGACCCAAAGCTCATGACCATAGATGAGGGTAGGAATGTAGATCGACCAGTAAATCGAGAGCTTCGCTTTCTGACTCAGCTCTCTCTTCGCCACGACAGACCGTTCCAGCGCCCGCTTTACAGCAGACGGTGCGCCAATCCGCCTGTAGAACTCCTGCTCCCTTCTTCCCCCATTCGTGAACAAGATCCCMAGATACTTAAACTCCTCCACTTGAGGCAGGATGACCCCCCTGAACTGGAGAAGGCACTCTACCCTTTTCCGGCTCAAGACCATGGCCTCGAATTTGGAGGCACTGAGCCTCATCCCGGCCGCTTCGCACTCGGCCGCGAACCGCTCCAGCGAGAGCTGCAGATC